ATTTGTGAAACTGCGTCACAAACTGTGACCTTCAGCACTCGACAACGAAGCTCACCCTTGTCAATTAAAGCAAACTCTACATTTGTCACGTGATGTTCAACTGACCATTGACCATACCTTGAATAAAGTTGGCAGCAGGGATGTGTGTTGGTCTTGTAGCGCCTTTAGCTCTCTTGGAAAAGGGATTCACCTTGTTACCAGAGGAATCTGTGATATTGTTGGATGGAACGCATTTGACTTGAACTGGTGGAGTGTTTTTCTCAACTCCAGTTACTCTTGGTCGATCCAGAGCCTTCACTTTCTTGGAAAGCGGATTGATCTGCCTGCCAGAGGACAGATTAGTGATATCAAATACAACAAGCTTCGTTTGGACCGGCGGGGTGCATTTGTCGACTTCAGTTCTCCCAAACTTATCCAGAGGACTATGTTTTGCCTTCTTAGAAAACGGGTTGACCTTCTGACCAACGGAACTGGCAATTTTGTTGAATTCCTCTTCTCTTTGGGGTGGTGAGCTGTGTTTCTTCATTTGAGCTCGAACAGCGCTGACGTCAGCGGCGTGTGGTGGTTGAAATTTCAACTTAACACAATCTTGGATGAAAACAGAAAGAAAAAAATTGAAATACAAAATTTTAGTTGAATCATCCTTTAAAACTGGTAAAGCAAAATGTAAACTTAATCGCCTCGCAGTTTTCCTCTTGATCATGAAAATTACAATTTTCCTTGATTGTGATTTCCTTTTTTTCCACTAATTCACTTGCCAAGTTGTTATTGGACAGTTTGTTATCGGACAGTTCAATAAAACAAATCAGACTCCCGCTACGCGGTCGTCCGATTTTGTTATCCCACGTATGATTACAGACCGAATTGGATTTTACTTAGTCCTATTATCATTACGTATTCAATGCCAATAGAGTATTGATGACGTTTTCTCATTAAGATTACATTGTAAATTTAATTGTGAGATCAATGAGTTTCTCACTGAGCTTAAATGAGGCGAGTACTTTGCAAAGGTACTTCAGCTGGAAGATTCATTGACAATTATAACTGTCTAACCTTTGTGTCACTTATCAGACTACTCCACTCTCGCACAGATGTAGATTGTCGAGCAATCGTATTTCACAAGTTTCCTTCTTCTTACCTTGAGCTGGCTTAATGAAGAGCTTCGAATTCGATTGAGCTTTCTTCATAGCTTCAAGATCTTTTGCTTTTACTGGAAAGTTTTCAATTTCAAGACATCCAGCGTTGTTTGATGGAGTGTCGAACCATGATGGTCGAGTGTCGAAGTAACCGTTACCTTTTTGTGAAAAGAAAAAGATAAATAAAAATTAAAGTACATGGAAAAACATGTTATCAGTTCCAAGTATATCAAAGTATATCGAGCTGTGCTCATCAAAATACTTTGCTCTCGCGCAGATGTGGACTGCTGAGTGCGTTCAATCGTATTTTACAAGTTTCCTTCTTTATACCTTCAGCTGGCTCAGAAGAGGACGATTTAGCATTCTTCAGAACTTCAAGATCTTTGGCTGTCACTGGAAAGTTTTTAACATTTAGACATCCAGCGTTGTTTGATAGAGTGTCGAACCATGATGGTTGAAGTTCAAAGTAAGCCTTACCTAGTTGGAAATAAATAACAACCAAAAAAAAATAAAACAAATGATAATCAAAGTACATAAAAGAAAACATTTTTAAATGTTCTCAAAAGGTTATGTAAAGTTGTCAGGTTAAATCCCTCTTTTCATCTTAAGGATGGAAAATGATATTTTCAAGCTTTGTCTTTTGGGAAATGGGAACATACTTTTAATCAGGCCCGTAAAAGATAAATATGCTAGTGGCGTGAACCGCGATTTTGAACATTTTTTCGTCCTTCTTGGCCTGTGAAAGGTAATTCAGACCCCTGTTTCTCCTTCCGCGTATTTTCTTTTAACTCTGCACCCCTCAGTGTAGCTTTGAACGAGGTCATTAAGACGAAGCAGTCGTATCAAAAGCGTGTTCACCACTCGGTAGATACGACACCATCCCGCTTTACCTACTCACCATTAAATGTTTTTGGCTCGCTCTGGGAGTCTTCTTTTGTTTCATTCTTCACAAAACTGAAATTCAGGCCATCTTCAAGTTCTTTAATGTTCCTCCTTGCCTGCTGTAGCTTTTCATCCATTGTCGCCATTTTCTTTACAAAATCAAACTGATTTCTTTGTCCATTTTGTTGTAGTCGAGACAGTTTTTCTTTGAGATCAACAATTTCTTTGTCTCTCCCAAAGATTGTTTCCTTAAGGAAGGCAATCTCCTCCTCTTTAGCTGTAAAAATACAAAGGATATAAAGAATAATTGAAATGAAAGGTAAATCAAATTCACGTTCGGAGTCATTACGGAAATTTGGAAAAAAACATCAAAAACGATATCATATAAGACGAAAGGAGAATCGGGGAAGGGGGAGGGGTTGGGAAGACTCCTTGTGATGGACATTCTTTGGCAGCCCATAGTTAAATGGCTTCCCTGCGCGTGCTTCTCGTATCCCGCATGCGTCATACCTAAACTTACCGATGATTTCTGTTTCAAGGCACGCGATTTTCTGCTCCAGTTCTTCTTTTTCTCTCGCAGACTGAAAAAAAAAAATGCAAAAAAATGCCAAAACAGAGTTATTTTTGAGTTTTGAAATTCGGAGTGAACAAAAATATTGAGGATAAAACTTCCATCTGAAAGATAGCGGAATGTTAAAGAGTGGCGTCATAATCTAAGAATTTTAGTTGCACGCGCTTAGTTGCCACGTCTCTTAATGAAAAACATTTTCATACTCAGTTGCCTGAAGACCTTTAATGTAAAAAATTTTCATTTGCGTTTCATTTTTCTCAAATGTTGGACGAACTCAGAACTGAGCTAATTTTGGAGATAACCGATTTTGAATTCAATTTGAACTAGTTTTGACTTAATTATACGGCAAATGTATTGAATGATGTCTACTTGGGCGTTCGCGAAATATCTACTACTTAAGTTTTTTTTTCCGTAATCCTCCCGTTACATAACAAAGTATATTGCAAAATTGTGTTGAATGCATGACTTTAACGAAGTAAAAGCTGAATAAATGGGAAACGCTCACCTCATTAGCCATGATTCGCGCCCCTTGTGAGGCCTCCAGAGGTTCATGATAATTCGCGGAACGATCAGCGCCATTGACTCCTTCATCAAATTTTCCCGCAAAGCAGGAATTCTTAACGGACTCTTTCTCATCTGAAATGTTTTTGTTCATTTCATGATTGTCTTCATTCCAACTACTGGATAAACAGGAAAAATCCATTCTCTCACTCTTTGCTTCTGCAAGAACCAAGCTCTTAATGCGAAACAAAATTGTGATTTGTTTATAACCAGTTGCATGGTAACAAGTTTGTTTCGTCACTTCTTGACATCACGCCGGATTTGGAGCGTCAGGCTTGGAAACTAGTTTTTTTTGTTGAAGCGTCAAAACCAGAGTTAGAAATTAAAACCTTCTTAAGTAGTTGAATTGCATGAAAAAACTATTGTTTACAGTTCGTTTATTGCTTTTCGCGATGTTTAAGAGGGCTTACCCTGAGTAAATTTCATGGATTTTAACAATTTATACA